GGGGATTTGCTTAAAATATCTAAAAGTAGTCCATGTTTTCTTCCTTACTCAAGGCAGATAGCCCCACCAGATTATAAGTCTTAAGGAGAGGAAATTTTGCTTTATAATTCTCCTACATAGGGGAAGACAACACTTTGTAAAGGGAAGGTGTTCAGTGAATGCCAAATAAAGCTAACAGAGTATTATTTTTAAAATAAAAAGAGCAATGATAAAAAATTATGCAATGTAATATATGTTGGATTCACTACTTAATGATCCTATTATTACTAATAAAATTAGCAGCTAACATTTATATACTTACTATAGGTACTGGAACAGGAATGCCAGTTCCTATGGCTTTAAAAAATAACTATCTTTTACAGACTATCTCATCTGATTTCCACTTTATGAACAAGGAAACAGAGGCCTCCAGAGAGTAAGTAAGTCACCCAAAGTCACATAGCTAGTAAATGGCAGAGCAAGGACATAGGACCTAGGCAATCTGATTCCAGAATCAATACTGCAATGTTATCCACTATACTGTACTGTTCCCATGTGGAACACAAATAAATGTTCTGCTTAATACCTAAACAGTACTTACAATTTCCACAGGAAAAAACTTTTTTTTTTAAAGTGAGAAGGCTTGGGTTCCATGAAGGCAGGTATATGAATATCTGCTCAATACAAAAAGGTGCCAGAAGAGACCAAGAAGTCTCACAAATGCATTTTTTAGGTCTGAAGAATAGGAGCTCTGAAGCATAATAAAGGAAGGGTCCCCTGTAATCCATATAGCCTCAGTATCGACAGACAGCATGAACTTAGCACAGTGGGTCTCTATTCACAAATAAAGGCATTCTTCAGAAAAATAACAGAGTATTCAGTTAGCCAACAGTCTCTTTTTTAATTGCAACACTAAAGTGTCCTTTGTATAGCAAAGCATTTAAAACAAATACTTGAAGTGGAGCTGCATGCTGATGTACCTACAGACAACTAGAGGAGAATAATAAAAGAATGTCCATGTAAAACAGCTGTCGCAGTAGTTACAAGATTCAGCTAACACTAAACCCATAGGGTAGCATGAAACACTGCACAAGGAGTCATATTTCCTTCTTTAGAAATTGACCTCTACTCATCTTCTGAGATAACTATAGCTATCACATAGAAATAATTTTCCTTAGAGATAACCAATTAATAAAGGACACTGCACATTCTTCATTTCTGTTACTACCACTTATAAAAACCAGGGCAATCCTCTCCCGTTTCCATAGTCTAAAAGAGGCCTCTGAACAAAGCACTGGGGAAAGTCAAAACTACCTTATAATCATTAAGGTTTCAAAAATTAGTTGAATTCAACTCTGAAACTCTAGCACCTGCCATGACACACTCTGTCACTGGTTATCTGGCCAGTGCAGCTGAGAGTCCGCAAGCTGCCTGCTATCACCAAAGCAGAGTGGACAGGAAGTATTAATGGCCTTGTTAGACTGGCAATAAACAAGGAGTTTGAAACTTCAATTCATTTAATGGAAAAAATGAAGTCACTTTTCAGTAAGTGGAATTTTCAGAATAAATTACCTCCACAGATTCCACAGATCTTAGGCTAAGGCAATGAGACTGTCTAAAGCCTGAAGGCTGATAAAAAGCACTTAAGTACCAAGCCCACATCTCAAGTCTTTACATACAATTCAACAGCCTATAAACGAGAGGTAACTTCAACTCCCAACTTATAAGGGAAGAAAAATCCTGCTTGTGGATAAGGAAAATATTTTCTGAGAACTCTTAGATACCAGAAAATAATCAGAAGACAGGTGAATCCAAATGTACTCTAATTGAGCCACTCAAGACTGTCTTAAAAAGACAAACAACCCTCTTATAGTTATTATTACTAATGTCAGTTGCTGGTTTTATCTTAATTTGTCTTCTACTTAAGATCTAAACCATTTAATAACATCATGGCAATATCATGGCAATCATGGCCTAGTAAAACCACAACAAATGTTTTCTGTCTAGGAGACATTATATTTCCACAGGAAAATTTTTTCTAAGTTTAGAGCAAGAACCGTAGAAAAAATCAAGAATGAACTGAGGGCCAAATTTCTCAGAAAACAACAGTAGGAGTATAAATTAGGATGCTTTGGTGTGAGTGGGATACAAAAATATCCTGAAATGTCTCTTATACGTAAGGCTTGAAAACATTTTTTATAAACTTAAGAGGCTCCTAGAAATGGAAATGACATGGAATGGGCTTCATCATTTTTTTTTAAAGCACACATCTTACAGTGAATTCTAAAAGGCACCAGGGAAGAACAACATCCTATCAACTCACCTTTGGCTTCTTGCAGTTTCTTGATCTCTGCTTCTCGTTCTGTTTTGCTCTGCTTGCTTCGAACCCCAAGGGCACTGATGACTAACCTTCTGGCTAAGGCTGCTGAAGTCTCAGGTCTTTCCTTTGGTGGCTGAAGGAATTCTGAATGGGAGAGAGTGAGGGAGTAGAAGGGGATAAGGGAGAAAGCACTCTAGTTTCAAGTGATTTAACTCGTAATTAACATACAAAGTAGACTAACAAGGGTTGCATCAGCTGTAATTAATACAAGCCTGATAGATGAGGATCAGAGGAAATTAACATGGCAAAGCACAAACAACCCTGGCTTCATTATCTGCATTGACACAATTTCTTACAGTTACTATCCAACAGCTAAAACAGAGGTAAACTAGGTACAGTGTCACCAAAACTGGCTGCTAGAGCCAAGGATTTAGCTCAGTGGTGCTGTGCCTGTCTTACAAGCACAAGGTCCTGAGTTCAACACCCGGTACCAAAAACACACACACAAAAAAACAAAAACTGGTTGTGCATTGCTTGCAGTTAGTGTCTCCCACTCTCCAACCAGCTGTTCTGATGGCTTATTTCCAACATGGTTTTCTTTTCATACTTCCTTCATATGAAAAATAAAAATGATGTCTTTACAATTCTGGATGGGGTACAACTACTGGAAAAAACAGTAATGCTGTCATCAAAAGGAACAATAAAGCATCCAGAGATTTTAAACTCACCAGCATAAGCTTTAGCTTTGGCCTTGGCTGCTCTTGTGGCCTGTGACAAGGGCCGGATCTTCACCATGGTATGTTTAATACTCAAAGCATCACGAGCTGTGAGGAAGAATAAATGTGAGGAAACAGAAGAAATGAAGTAGAGTTACATACAGGAAAATTAAGTATTTCCTAGATCTTATTTTGTTTTCAAAGCAAGAAAGAAATCATAGAGAAAAATGTAAAGTATTTGGCAGTGATTACTTCAATCAGGTAACAATAAACTGTGGCTCCATGACCAACTCCAGCCAGCTACCTACGATTATAAATAAAATTTTATGAAACAGAGCCAGGACCATTTATTTGCATATTGTCTGTGGCTGCTTTCTTGCTACAAAAGCATAGTAGCAATAGAAACCTTTTGCCCCACAAGTCTAAAATATTTATTACTTTACCTTTATGGAATAAGTTTGCAGAACCATGACTTAGATGGTTCAGAGAGGAACCAACATTTCAACAACTCTAATTTCATGTATCAGATTTATCATGAGCCTAATGATTTATGTACAAAGATCTAATCACATATTCAGATGATAGGGACTGAAATTTCTCACTGATAGGCTAACAGGCTACTTCAAATTCATTAGTCTGAGGCAAAAAAAGATAACATGTACTGTAAAACTTAGTCCTCCTGCCTTCTTACATCTCTATCTGTAATCTGTTTATATTATCATAACTGACAGTTATATGTGCAAATAACCTTGGAAGGAGTTGATTATCTCTCCTAGTATCACTGGATTAACAGAAATGGGAGAAGGGGCACATATGAGTACCCAAGCGCTTCACTTCAAAAACTTCTATCTATTCTACTATCTATATTAGCTGAATAAAATGCCCAATTGGAAATACATAGTAGGAGAAATGGACAATAAGAAAACACTGAAATATACTGGATGAGTACCTGTGATTGGACTGGAGAATACTCCTAAAGCATGTGTATCGTCCACCCATTTAATATCAAATCCTTTCTTTCTGCCACAAAAGAAAACAATTTTATTTAACATAAAATTTTCTATTATGAAACATCTTTCAAACAGAGTCTTATATATAGCATTTGATGAGACAGAAAAACAGACTGCACAGGTGGAATGGGGATAATGACACAAAATCAGCTTGGAGGACAGAAGAAGCCCCTGAATTTTAAAAGCAATAATACCACCATAAAGAATTACCTGGGAGTATTTTATGTTCCCAGACATTTTATAGACATCAACTAATTAATCCTCACAAGTCTCCTGGGAGACAAAGTATTTACTGCAGTATTTATAAAACATGTTTTTATGGAACAGGGAATGAAAAGAGATGGAAAGGGAAATAGAGAAGGGGGAGAAGAATATAGGAGGAAAAGTAGTCAGAGAAGGTCACTTAGATTTAATACAAATGTACACTCTGTCCTTGAGAGAAACTGAAAGACAGAAATGGAGGTACTGTATTATGAAATATCATTCAAATTCTTTAAAAAGTCAAGTAATGGGGAAAAAAGATAATTATAATCATAAAGTCTTATCTATTCTTTCTTACTTGTTACAGAAGGGTAGTAAGAAAGAGAAAATAGAAAAGACTGTGACAAATTCAGAAACAAGGATAAAAGAAATCATGATATGAAAAATACCAGACAAGATTAGAAAGTATCAAAAGAAGGAACATTTAGTACTAGAAAAGTACCTTTATTTTGGAGCAGAACTATATAATAAGATAAACACCAGGATGGTAAACCGACAGCTATTTTTTTCAGTAGGAGTTTAAAACTGCTCATGAATTCAATAGCGTTCACTGGAGAGATCACGGGTCTGAGGATCAGATATATGGAGACAATGTTCTGTCTGCTACCTTAAGACTATGAACTTTCTTGAGGCTAGGTCTGTTCATCTGTGAAAATGGGCAGAGTACCTTCCTCATAGAGTTGTGAAAATGGAAATGAGATCACCCATAAAAAGGCCAAGAATAAGGTGTTGCTCACTCAGTGGGCATATTATAAATGGTGCTCATTTATCTTAAAAGCAATTTTCATCAGGAAGATTATGAACATTAATGAAGATGGTAATGAAAACACAAGTTGACTCTAGTAAACAGACTTAAAGACATTATTCTAAGTTTCTGCACCATGACCTTTTAAAAAAATATTTTATGAATCATTATAAAGGAAAAAAAGACAATTGCTAAAATATCTTTCCTCTCTAATACTAAGTCAAAAAAATTTTGTTGAGGAAAAAAACAGGAAGAAAGTAGGCTTTGAAGGTTAAAGTGCTTCCTGAATATAAGCATAAGATTGACCACAGCAAAAAATGATCATAGAGAGGTTAAAGACTGCAAGTCTATACTAACAGGACAGTTTGCAAATTGGCTGGGAAAAGACCTAGATTGGTTCTGAAAGGCTGTTAGACTTTAGGTTTTATAATCCTTTAAAATTCTTATCTTTTGGAAATGTTTTTGGATTTGAAAGAAAAATGGTTTTGCAGGTAAGATTACAGAGAACAAACCCAAGTAAAGTAATAATTCTTAAGAATTAACCACTCTTGAAAAGATTTTGACACTAACAAAAATGATCCTTGGTTTTACAAATTGTTGTTATGAATGAAAATCAAAGGTAGTTCCAATTTGGAATTTAATCCCACTGATTTTAAAGATCTATTATGACTTTTATACTGAACAAGCCCTGAAATTGGGCCTGATCATAACTGTAATAAATTAGAGTGGCTGACCTACACTACACAATTAATATAAGGCTTATGGCAAATATTAACTGCCATAACTAATACATATCTAAGTGGCACTTAGAGAAGGTGAAAGAGACTAGACCAGAGCAATATTTGAAGAGATGTTGTCTATAACTTCTCTAATATTAATAAAAACCCTAATCCTTTGATTCTGTAAATCCAGATAATCTCAATCAGGATAAAAAAAAAAGAAAGAAAAATCCACAAAGCCCACATCAAGATGAAAATGAAGACCGAACACAGAGAAATTCTCAATAGCTTCTGTGACAGTTAATCTTGATTGTCTTCCTAATTGGAATGAGGGATGCCTCGGAAATTAGTAAAGCATACTTCTGGGTATGCCTAGGAGAGCACACCTAATTTCAGAGACAGCATGGGAGTCAGTGAACAGAGTAGCCTTCTCTGAATATGGGTGATAAAATACAATAGGCTGGAATCGTGTATGGAACAGAAGGGGGAAGAATGACGAAGTCAGCCAGTGCACACAAGTTTGATTCTTCCTAAGCATTGCCTGTGAACATCAGAGTCCAGCTTCTTCAGCCTTTCTATGTGGACTCACAAGAGCTGACTCTAAAGGAAGCTTTCAGGTCTTCAGTCTTGGGCTGGGGCTGCATTACTGATTCCTGTCACTTTGACATTTCCAGCTCCTTGGATTAAGTAGCTACTAGTTTCTTTGACTCACCAGCGTCTGTCCAATGTGGGACTATCCAGTCTCTGATCCTGTAGGTCAATCTAATAAATCCCTTGTTAACACATACACACGTATGCACTACACACACACACACACACACACACACACACACACACAGTGTGATTAAAAATATAGAAAATACATTTTTTCAAATCATTACAGTAAAAGACACATTGCCACAACCCTTCCCCATACAATCCTTAAATTCAACACTTATATTGCCTTTATTGCCATTTTCTAAAACAGCTCTAAAGACCTCTTTCATGACTCTCTATTTGAGCTATCATGGCTGCCTCAGTGTCTTGAATCTTCTGAAAATGTTTATTTTTCATAGTCATTTTGACATTGGGAAAGAGCCAGAAGTCGTATGGTGCCAGATGTAGTGAATAAGTGGATGAGGATACACCACAAAGTTTTTAGGAGCCTGCTTTTCTGTTGGATGGCACTCAGCAGCAGCATTCATATTCATGTACATATCTCACCACACCTGGTAAAGACACAAAAGAGGACTTCTAGAACTGCTTCAGAAAGAGGTAAGAACAATAGAATGAGTGCGTTTAAAGCCAGGGTATTTCTTCCTTTTTTTTTTTTTTTTTTTTCTTTTTCTTTTAAAAGCAAGGGGTATTTCTGAGGAGGACTAATGGCAATGTGTCTTACTGTAATGAAATTTTTAGAAGTTAAATATTCACTTTTCAATCGAACCTCATTTATGTGCATGTTATATGTATATATACATATATGGATAAATGTGTGTATATATATATGTATGAATATATTCTATCGATTGTTCCTTTAGGGAACCCCTGACCAATATACTATACCATCCAAAGAGAAAAAGACAGTATAATCAGAAGTGTCTAGTTGTCAGACTGTCAGCTGACTTATCACTGAAAGAGATCACAAAAAAAATAGTATCTTCACATTTTTGAGAAAAATATCTGCCAATGTAAAATTCTTTTTTTACTGTTGCTGTTTGTTTTTTGAAATAGGGACTTGTTACGCAGTTAAGGCTGGCCTTGAAATCACTACATAGGTGGGGCTGGTCTTAAATTGAAGCTATCTATCCTCCTGTTCAGGCTCCTAAATACTGGGATTACAGGCATGTGCCACTACACCAGCTTAATGTAGAATTCTATACCCAGCAAAAAAATGTCATTCTCAACAATGAAGCTGAAATAAAGCCATTAAAATAAAACTTAAGTTTGTTTCCAGCACACTGTTTCTAAATTAAATGCCAAAAATCATATTCCATATAAGATGAGAAAGATTTCAAATAGAAGGAGTAAGATGCAAGAAGGTATAAATGATTCCAAGTACCACCAAGGGGGGAGTTAAATGAAGTACAGAAAATGGATAAACCTAAACACTGAATATATAAAATAATAATGTCAAATAAAACTTATAAAGAGAAAACAAACAAGAATCACTCAGCCACAACAGCACATAGTTTTCTAAGTTGGGGAAAGGAGAGGTGACAAATGGAATTAAAAGTCCTTACAGTGTTTAGAAAGAAAGTAAAAAATTACCTTTAGTTTTCTGATAAGTGAAGCATGCATTTTATAACTTCTAGAGTGAGCACTAAAAACAGATAATCCTTAAAAAAAAGTAGAATAAAATATACCTAATAAATCCAAAAGAAAGCTAGAGAAAAGAGAAAAAGGACAAGTAAACACACGCAAAGAAGATGGAAGGTAAATATAAAAATATATATTTGGCTATAAATCCAAATATATCAATGGCAATAAATATAAATGGACTAAACATACCATGAAAACAGATTCAGGAGTTATCACTGATGTCAGTCTTCTTAAAAGCTAACATGAGGTCTAGAAAGTCTATGTGGCATTTTAAAGAAATTCAGAAGAGCAGTCTGATATTTCTAATGGACCTGGACTAGATAATAAACTGGACTGCTAAAGTAAACAACAGGAAATATGAAAACAAGAAGTGATTACTCAGAAGATGTTATTAGAAGACTTCATTCCACCTTTCCTAATATCTGTAGTTACTTGTAAATACTTACTGGTAACTGCAGAAAACCCGTAGAAGGTCTTCTGTACGAAATTCTTGGGGGAAGTCATAAATTTCAATGACATGTGGGAACTCACATTCACTGAGGTCAATATCAGGAACTTCATGGTTGTAATAATCAAATCTGGGTTCCTGGATGCTTTCTTCATTCTTCATATTCCCTGATAACTATGGAGGAAGAAGCAGGTAAGTGATCAATCACATCATTAACATCAAATTAAAGCATTATAAAATATCCTCGCATCAATAAACAATCCTACTCCCTGTCTCTATGTTCCCAAAGATTTCTTAACTTTTGGCACTGATAGTATTACTGCTGATTATTGCCCACAGTGTTTGCTATTTACTTCATATTACACATGTAGAATCTTTGAGAAGGTGCTGAAATTTTAGCAGACAGGAAATTCCTGAAACTGAACTTGTACCTATCAACCAGTGAGAAATTATAGACTGATCAGAGAACAGTTATGCAGGTTCATGGTAGAGCTAGCCTAGCATGTACAAAGCACCTGGGCTGAAACCTTGTAGCACAAAGAAAGGGGGATGGGCAAGAGAGAGAAGGGGTGCAGGGAGCAGAGGAAAGGCAAGGGAAGGGAGGAAGGGAGGAAGAGAGGGGGAAGGAGGGGAAAAGAAAAGAGAAAAGGGGTAGGAAAAAAGGGAATGAAGGGGAGGGGGAAAAAAACTCAGACTATTCAATGTGGTGATAGGGTAAATTCCAAAAGGGGCATCCAGAAACTGATTATGAAACAACAGCTAAAGAGATGGATTAAATATTTGTTTTAACTGAGCTTACAGATCAGGCTCATGGCTTTTTCTCTTCTGGAAGTAAAACAAAAATAAACCAAAGTTTTCAAAAGGGTTTTAGTTCACCTTTCATTCAATATATTAAAAGGGTGAGGAAGGACTGGGGATTTAGCTCAGTGACGCCATGCCTCCCCTACAACGTCCTGAGTTTGATCCCTGGTACCTCGAAATAGATAGATAGATAGATAGATAGACAGACAGACAGACAGACAGACAGACAGACAGACAGGGTGAGGAGATAGCTTACAAAGGAATTTGTTTAGACAAATGTCTACAGTCCAAATAATTAAAGTCTCCAGAATAAGACTTACTGAAAAGAATCCCCACATAAAATATTGAAAGAATTAATAGTAATGAAAAATACTTTAAATTCAAACTATCTCACTTAGAAGAAACAAATACACATTCAAACCCTGCAGGTTATTAACTATTTCAAACGAAACAGAAGGTAAAAGGGAAAAGTGACAGCAAATATTGCTACTTTAGTACTGACCAGCCAAAGCTACCAGATCCTTAAGGGTATCCTCTCTCTGCTGAACAAAAGTCTAACAAGGTTCCTTCAAGTTTTCCCTCTAATGTGCCTCTTTTCTTACTTTCTTATTTATTTATGTATTTATTTATTTTTGGTACCGGGGATCGAACTCAGGTCCTTGAGCTTAAATTCCAAGCCCCCTCTTTTCTTATCAAATAAAGAAAATGAGAAATTGCAAAAATGGATTTAACTTTTACTGGGGAGGAAGGAAGGCAGGAGGAAAGTGATTTAGGCAATACCAACAAAAATGTTTTGTTTATTCATTTGCTTTTAGTTCTTTTTCTCCACTAAGCATCAATTTTACATCTAAAAAATGGAAATGATACTACCTAACAAGTACATGAACTAAATGAGATAATGTAGAAGCATACTGCTTGGTATGCTTAGTACTGACACAAACTTAAAGTACTGTTACATATCAAGCAAGCACATTACTTTTGCTTTACTTAAGATGGAGAAAACAGGAAGAGACTGTTCTTTCCACTGTAATAAGAGGATAGACTGGTTGATCTACGAAATCGTAATTTTTGTTGAGTTCATGAGAGAGCTGAGTTTGCAAAAGGAAACTGAAATCCACAGAATGACAAGTTCCTCCTGAAGAGAAACAGAACACATAAACAGTCTTTTCTGCAGACCATATAACTGACTACCACACAAGTGGGCTCGAATACGTCAGCTAAAGATTTAACAAATTCTTACTCTAGGGTAGCCTACTGTAACAGCTTAGAGATGATTAACAGACTCAGAGACTCACAGACAAGAGGAGTATTTAGTTACTTAGACTTACATCTTTATGCCAATGCTACACTATCTTGATTACTGTAGCTTTATATTAAGTTTGGAAATCTCAAAGTTTGAGTACTCTTTGTTCTTTTTCAAAACCATTTTGGCTCTGTGGGGCCTCTTGCATTTTTATAGGAATCTGAGGATCAGCTTGTGAACTTCTGCAAAGAACAGGCAGCTGGGATTGCACTGAATGTGCTACCCAATTTTAAAATATCTTAACAGTACTAAGCTTTCCAATAAATCAATATAGGATGTCTTTCCATTTATTTAGATAATCTTTGATTATTCTCAATAATGTTTTGCAGTTCTGTGGGAGTAAGTTTTATACTTCTTTTATTAAATTTATTCCTAAGTATTTTAGTTTTTGATGCTATTGTAAATGGAATTTTCTTCATTTACTTTTTTGATTGCTGGCACTTACCTTTTTGAGTTACTCTGGAAAAAAAAAACAAAGTACTGCATATTTGTGCATTTAAAAATTGGGGCTAAACTGTGAGAAATATAATGCAGTACTTGTAGTTCTCACAATGCAAACTTAAAAAAAAAGTACATTGGAAGTATAAATCCCAAGAACTGATAATTAAGAGGAAGGAAAAGTCAGAATAGTCTGGCAAGAAACTTGATTATGATTCCTTGCTCAAACCTGAATTCCTTGCCAAAATTGAAGTTGTAAGTTTTCATCTCATCTCTGAAACTGATTAAAAAACAAACATAGCAAAAAATATAATTCTTATTCCAAATTGCATGGAATACCTATACAGCCTGTAAGTTACATAACTGTGTAACACAGACTTCATTATCACCAGGGATTCCTAACTTTTCCTAAGAAGAGGAAGAACATTTTATTTTCTATGTTGTGTATACTAATGTTAGCAGCTTATAATTCTACTGGTATTGCTTTTCTACGTGTGTGTCTGTGAAGGTAGAAGGCCATTCCGTTAATTGGTGATCTCTCCTGAGAATCTCAACAAAACATGCAAAGGAGCTTGAAAAAGTGAGAAGAAAATGTGGCATAAAAGGTGGAAATGTAGCAAAAGGAAAATGGCATGAAGGTGGAAGTAAGGATCAGACTGTGAAGGGGAGCAAGGAAGCTAGGACCACTGACAGAGGGAGTAAATATAGTAGTTCACAGCTTCAAGGAAAGGCTCTGATTCCTGAGGTACCTTAACTGTCCAAGAGAAAAGACCAGCTGATCTACAAATTCCTAATTTTTTTTGAGTTCACGAGAGTGTTTTGGGGTGTTTTTTTTTTGGTACCAGGGATTGAACTTGGGTCCTTGTGCTTGCAAGGCAGGCAACAGAACCACTGAGCTAAATCCCTGGCCCTACGAGAGTGTTGAGTTTACGCAACAACCAAGGAAACAGAAACTGTCCAATGCAATAGTTGCCTATCATGTGGCCATGAAGTACTTGAAATGTGGCTAGTACAAACTGAGATATGTTTTAAGCATAAAATATACGTACAATTTCAAGATTTAATACAAAAAAATGTGAAATATATCTCAATAATTTCTTATAGTGATCTCATACTGAAATAATATTTTGAACACATTAGATTAAAATATATTAATTGTGCCCCCTTATTTTAATTGTTTTCCTCATATGACTACTAGAAAATTCAAAATTATATGTAAGGCTATCGTATTTTTACTGTAAAAAAATAAAGTATTTTTCCTAATAATCTCATATACTGGGGCAATATTTACTATAGTCAGTATGAAACCTTCATATTGTAAGACCAGCTAAGAAATGTTTAATAAAACATTAACAGAGGCGAAAAGTTTAGAATGATTCATTCGTGTATCTATTACAAACCAACAAAAAGTTTGCAGATTACTCAGTAAATAATTTTTAGTTATAAATCACAGATATTTTAGGATTTTTAGCAGTAGTCTTTTTTGCTATTTATAAGGCAAGGCAAAAAAGAAATCTGAGTATCCCTTCATATATATAACTAGCTTTCACAAAACCATTCAAATAAATTAACTCCCCCAAGTGAGGGCTTAGAGTTGTACGATCCAGTAGACTGGTCTAAAAAATATTACTGGACTTGCTATAACCACTTGATGTCTGTTAGAATTTAAAAAAAAAAAAAAGAATGGCAAGGAGAAAGCAAAGGAAGCACCCAGGAGTCATTAAACTTTTTTTGTTTGTTTGTTTCATTATCTGTTCTTTAAGATACAAAAGGAAAAACAAAGTTATGATTTTTTTCCTGTACAAAAATAAAATACACTATATATTATTTTGGAATAAGTTCATTTTTGTATCTCTGTCAGATAGGCAGGGATAGATGTCAAATGGGCTGTTATTATTATTCCAAGCACTATACACAGTTGGAGAACTGCAACAGAGACTAAAGAATAGCCATAAGATTACAAATCAAATTACTGACAAAGTTTGAATTATAGCACCAGTCCCCTAAATGTTAATCTAGTACTCCCTTTAGAACATAGAGAAATGCCCTTACAGTAAACAGGATGAGAAAAAGTGGCTGTAACAATGTTCAGAATAACTAATTCTCTGATTAAGGATTTATAAATATAAGCAGTTATAGAAGGAAGGAAAACGTCAGTGCAAAGCTAAAAAGGCAACTGAGGGTGGCTGATTTCTAACTGCATTCTAGACAGCATATAAAGTGTAGAATAGACTACAGATTAAACTTCTAAAAACACTGCTTTGAACATGCTATTCCCCTAATCAAAAATCTTCAATGATGTATTTAAAGCTTCTGTAACCTGACCCACCCACAAAGGCCTCCCAAAGATGTCTACATTATTCTTATAATTTGTGAATGTATCACATTATGTGGTAATGATAAATTAACGTAATAGATGTAATGATTATGCATATTAATTAGCTGACCTTAGACTATACTTATGCAGGCAGGCCTAGTGCAACGATAGGCATCTTTAAAAGTGAAAGAGCTCAGAGGCAGAAGAATCATAAAGATGTCACTGGCCATTGCTGGATTTGCAGATGAAAGGGGCCACAAACCAAGGAATTTGGGGAAGCCTCTAGAAGCTGAAAGAGGGTAGAAAACAGATTTT